TTCGCCCTTTGTATCAGGTAGACATAGTTTGATCGACTCTTAGTTGAATGGGTGTTATTGTCATGACTGCTGCTTTTTTGTCTGGAATTATAAATAGAGGCAAAACAAACAACAGGTGTAGTCTCTGAGTTCATACATTAAATGGGCCTATGATTTCTGAAACTTACATGGGAATTACCATTGGTATCAATTACAAACTCACTTAGTGTGTCATTAAGTGCCTTTTCAAAGGAGGCCAATGTGCTTGCTAGTCGTATTTTCTCAGGTAGTTTGTTCCATATTTGGGCATACCTAATCAAGAAAAACTTTTGCCTGGTGGCTGTTTTACATGGTTCTATAGCCACTGTACCTTTAGTGTGCCTAAGGTTGTATCCTGTGTTACCTGAGAACCGAGTATAGTTAGCAGGGGTATACACTATTTGGTTAAGAAGCTTATAGAAGAGTAACAGATTTAGTCGCAGTCGCCTTAACCATAATGTTTCTAGTCCCAGGATTTCACATCTGGTAGAGTAGTTTGTGCCGTTATCGGTTCCGAGTACTTTTCGCGTGAAGTACCTCTGTACTCCTTCTACTTTCAGTTGCGTGTACTGCTGAATATGAATGAGCAGTAATCTAGGAGTGGGCGCACACAAACCTTGTACAGTAGTATTCTGGATTCGTTTCTGTAGAAGTTCCTGAGTAGGAAACCAATAAGCCTTCGTGATTTCGACACTTGATTCGAGATATGCTCTGAAAATGATAGATTGTGTGAATATTTCAGTCCTAGGTCTGGAGATTTTGTGGCCCTGAATTGCTAGGTTGAGGTCAAGGTTGGAACAGCCTATGCAGAGCCATCCACACTTTTCAACATTAAACTCAAGTCTCCACGTGTCACACCATCTATCCATTTTTGCTAATTCTTCATGTATGGAGTTCATAGTTGGGCCGATATCTGTATTTGTGCAGGTATATGTCACCTTCAAGTCATCTGCATACAGTATTGGCTTGCCTATACTAAAACATTCACATATACTGTTTATGTATATAATGAAAAGAAGGGGTCCCAATACACTCCCCTGGATGACACCACTGCTGATTGGTCTAGGTCTGGAGGTCATTGAGCCAACTTTAGTTGTCTGATTCCTGTCACAGAGAAATGATTTTATCCAATTGTAGAGGGGGTTGCGTATCCCTAGTGAGCATAGCCTACCGACTAACAGACTATGTGGGACTCTGTCGAAGGCTTTCCTTATATCGAAATAGAGGATAATTACTAGCTCTCTCCTATCTCTTCTATAGGTGACTTCGTTGAAAAAGTCTATATGGCAAGTGACGCAAGATCTTTTCTTGAGGAATCCGTGTTGTGACAGGTTGATGAGTTTATGTTTTAGAAAGTAGTCTGACATTTGGTCTTTGATTACTTTCTCCATGATCCTTGATATGACTGGTGTTATATTGATAGGCCTATAATTACATGCACTAGTTTTGGCCCCTCCTTTATGCTTAGGTAATATATATGTGTTTTTCCAAGTTTCAGGGTAGGTTTCGGTCACTAGTGAGATATTAAATATTCTAAGTAATAATACTATCATATCCGTACCACCGTTTTTGTATATGACGGATGGTATATCGTCTATCCCACAACTACTGTTAGCTTTTAATGTCCTTACCGCCGATGCTATATTTTGTATATTAAAGTTTATTTCACCTAACTTGTAGTTATTTTTGCAGGTTATGTCGAGAATTGGGGACGGATGTGCTTTGGTGTTATTGGAGAACCACTCACTCAGGAGTTCACTAATGATCTGGGGATCATCATAAATTATACCTTCGTGTTCTAAATGACTGATATTGTTTTCTTCACCCTTCTTCAGCCGTTTTTGCAAGATTTTGCAGAGTTCCTGGGTTTTAGAGGTGCCCTCTAGGGCTTTATTTTCCTCGACTTGTGCTTTCATTTTATGTCTCTCATCTAAATTTTTAAATGTTTCGTGTATCAGGTGTAATGCATTAAATTCTTTGTATAAATAAAATTTCCTTTTTAGTTTCCTTAGTTTTATTCGCGTTTTGCGATCTATGAACAGAGTTGGTGTCTTTAGGGCAGATTTCAGGGGTGCGATTGTGTCTCTTACCGAACTGATTGTCTTGTAGAAGGTATTTAGTATTACTTCTAAGTTATTATTGGTGAAGTATTCACCCCAGTGTGAGCTTCTCAGGAGCGTTGGTAGTAATTTAATATGTCAGAAAAACGGGTGTTTACAAGGAATGCATGTCATTTTTACAGGCAAAATAAGTTATGTTATGAATTGCAATCGTGAAGTATCATAAATTAACACTTTTGAAAAGTTCGAGTCGTTCAGTTATTGTACGAGTAATTAGAACAGGTTATGATAAGTATTAACTTGCAAAAGCTTCACAATGAACACTGTATAGAAAATTCATTGTCTTCATTTTCACCAACTTTCCCTTCACTCACAGAAGCATGCAGTCACTGCATACACTCAAGCATTGTAACCTGAACATCACAAAATCCTTACAGATAACTTGTTTAATAATAACCGCTTCAAAGATATGAGCCATAAGTGCATCTTCGATATCCTTCATAGCCACAAGTAATTCATTAAGGATCTCAGAATATCTTAGTGATCTGGAAACGAATAATTATTAAGACTGGTATAACTTATGCAACAGGTATAGTAGTTGTAAGACACAGCTGCTAGTTACTAATCGACAGAAAGCTGATACTAATTTTAAACAGTCTGACATTTTAGAAGGATCATCTATACTATTCTTCGTGCCCCAATGCACACTGATATCAACATAATCTGATGCCATTTCATGCACTGAGCAATTACAGTCTTCTGAAATTCCGTGTGCAAATGTTAATTAAACTAGTATCACATCTCCGCCTTACCAGTTTTAACTAGAAACTTCATCAAAATAGATATGATCATTAGGAAATTCAGCAGCCTGTCTCATTCATCGCATGATCTCTTCGCTGTGTTATGGAATATTTCAGTCATCACGGATGATAACAGAAGTGTTTAACATCCTCAGAACATACATCCAATTTCTCTTTCAAATGTCAGATTCTCATAGAATGACAGGGATGACAAGAGCCATTGCCTGTAGTCAATTTACAACCTTAAGATCTAAAACAACTCGCAAAAAACAAAGCATCAAGACTCTAAAACGCAAATAATAGTCTTTCTATGCGAAATTTCTTAAAAGGGATGACTTTTTTTATTAATAACTCATCTGGGCTATCAAGACAATTTTACGCATTACTACGGACACAACACAGCAAAATATTGCCTTTTTCGGCTACAGAAGACTTAAACTGGTCAAATATAATCTACTTTCACAAAACTGAACGATTATAACGCCTCTATACGCGTTAAGGCGATAACCCATACACTGCGCAAAAATATACAGTTATAACGTTTAGCCTCACCCCAGCGGAGCAGCGTCGAGAGGTACGTTCTCGCGGATGTCGGTGAAAAATGCAGGTTCTCAAGTCACTTGTTCCGTCTGAATTCTGCGGCGCATGTTTCCTATTATAGCTGCCTTTAACTTAACAACTATCCGAACAATCTTCCTCGCATGGTAGTACCTGCAGAAACATGAGTCCCAGGCTGTGCAGCTTATCGGGTCACCATGGTATTCAAGCCCGACAACCACGACAATGTAGCATTTGTCGATCAGCAATTATTCTGATACAAGAGTTAGCGAGTAAAATGTCGCTCATTCCTAGTAATACCTAGTAATTCTTTAGTTCTGCAGGGGGTCGCTCCGTACCAAACACAGTGGAGACTTATGTAGCGCCAGTTAGCTGCTCTCTCTCTAAGAGATCCTAGAATTACTAAAATTAAATCTAGTGGATGGTGACAAAGAGGTTGTAGAGAATCTGTAAATTTCTGCCACCTCTCCAAACACGTATGGGCGTGTTAGTGAATGCATTCTTCGCCGAATAATCTATAAGTTTCCATTTAAGAATCTGAGGGATGATGATGGCTGAGGAGCTGGCGAAATCCTATTGCTTCCCAGCGTAAATCTTCCCGATCAGGGTTTATCGGGACATAGAAATAATTTAATACGCCCAATGTTTCAAGCGCATACACTGTCTCAAGATTATACACGTAAGTTGTTGCATTTATAGAGTTACAGAGATTAATAAGCGAAGGTGATGGCTAAAGTGACTGGATAATTGCTCCTGATTTGTAGCTACCCCAAGCTAGGAGAGATGGCAAGATTGTTTTTGTAAGCAGTCAGCTATTCGGCAGTGCATCAGTTCACATGTGCTCAATGAAGACAGCGTGCCAGACCACATTTTCGAAGTATGCGGTATACTATAGAGTACTATGAAATCTAATGAGTGTCCCTATTTTTTATAGAGTTTTCATCCGTTTAATAAGGGCCTGCAAAACAACAAAAAGATACCCAATAGTCTAAGAGGAAATTTAGCTTCCTACAGTCCATTTCACAACCAGTAATCCCAGGATTTTACAGAATTTAAACATTTTCTTCGTCCCTTCTGACATGCATGTTTGAAAGATGAGAAGAGATTCAAGATTCCGTGCATGCTTTTGGGCTAAATTTATATTGCTCCATACAATTAAGGGGCTTATGACGTGTCTAATTAATAAGCCTAAGAAAGTAAAAGTCTGGGCTGAGGCTAATGAGGATGGCGGTATAAACACTATTGAAGCTGGCGGTGAAAACAGACTGTACGGGATGAAAAATATTGACAAAACTAAGTACATGGCTATGTTGATAGAGTACGCATTTAGTTGATTAAGTGACAATAAAAGGCCTCTCTATGTTTATTGATACATGAAAATAGAAGACGAAAAGTGATACACTTGAGAAACTGCAATTGAGTGTTGCGCATACGCTCACAGAGCTCTGAGTAATTCAGGTGGTTCCTTAGGATGATTGGCGCCATGTGAATTATTCCATAAACGTTTGTGAATAAACCAAAAGTGACTCATACATCTTAGATACTAAAGTTTCCGAAACTGAGAGTACTAGGATACGTACCGTTGTTTTACTTATTCAAAATCAGTCTGTTTCCTTGACAAAAATACATATATTTTTGAGTTTATGGGAATGGTGAGCATTACCTCATGATATTGGTTTAATTGTCGTATTCAGAGTAAAAGTGGTCCTTCCTATTGCTTTTTGGTTGAGTGGTTTGATACCATATCGTCATTAGTGAAAACCTTTCAGCTGATTTATCATCCTAACATTTCTTCAGTGGAAATGGTAGTTAATATTAATTTCTGCATTATTCTTCAAGCATGAAGAAAAAACAAACAGGCTTTTCTGAAACCTACGAAAGTTGAGGGGCTTAAACTGTCCGATTTTTACTTAGGTAGTACAGTGACTATATTCTCGCGCTCACTCAGGATTGTGGATTTCGGAGACGAGTTTACAAAACGAGAGTTCTTAAGTCGTTCAGAGAGGTAGGTAATTCTAAACCAAATTCATATGTCTCAATGAAGATGTCTCGTATTTATAACCCCAAATTCTGTTTGCCGGCTGGTGAAGTTATAGCAACACTGGAGAACAAGTCTTTTCGTATAGTCAATCTGAAGTTGTTACGTTTGACATCAGACGAAGTTAAAAGTCTTTCTGAGAACCACACGGACTTTTCTAGCATTCCGTAAGTCGGCTATGTCTTGTGGTAATGAAATTTATGATAGTTTATAAAAATAGCATGTTCTTTAATGTAGGATTGTATCATCAACATGATAATTCAAAACAGAGATGTTGTTTCTGGTTTCACATTTTAATTTTGATTCAGTCGGTGAGTAAACTTCGACTCATGAGATTTTTTATGAGACTTATTAATATTTATAACACTGAGTACAATGGTATACCTCAGAAAAAGAAACATTTAAAAGTATGCAATAGCCCCCCGCAGTATAGGAGATACAAAATTGCAGCATTAAGTTACCTTTTAATGAAGCCACAGAATACTTCTCAGGCTATAGATTCAAATTTTGAGCTGCGGATAGAAGGCTCCAAGCCCATTTTAAGCTATTTATATTAGGTCTCTTTTGTTGCCTAGTTCTTTCTCTAATGAAGTCTCAAATACCTATTATTTTGTGAGTTGATGACTGTACAGGAAAACTAGTTCTCTACGGTATTCTATTCTATCCTTGGCTTTTGAACTGTCCAGCTATTTCCTTTGAAGTATTCTCACTTATATGAAAAGGAGAAATGGTGCATGAAAGATATGTAGTCATTTTTAGGATTCTCAACATTGTTGTTAGATATTTCCTCAGTTTGCTTTGTAATTTATTGAATAAAAAATCGGTGATGTCAAGGATCAGTTGTATGGTTGCCCTTTTGATCTTTTTCAGTATACATGAGTTAGCTAACGACCAGGGGCTGGTTGCTCGAATGTGGTTTCCTGGTTTGAATTTCACCAAAGAGGCATTAAAAAAGGATGGAAATATACTGTGGATTATAGTAAGGCTCTTGTAATTATTCTTTTTTCTTGTAATCTCTTTCAAACGTGATCTTATCAGATTCCTTTTCTTTGATTTGAACTTTTCAGAAGTTGTGCAACTGACACTGGTATGCTTTTTTGGAGAATACACTTTTTGGGTGATAACTCAGTCGTTAAGTAAGAAAAAGAAGTGAATAGTTGTGCTAAAGCAAAAAGGGAATATATCCATGCTTTATATGGGTGATTTTTAGTCGCATCATCTACAAAGTATATCCACTGATTTTCGGCATCAACATGATTTGTATCGGCAAGAACGTGGATTCCTGCATAGTTCTGATTGTGTCTTCATCTAATTGCTTTTCGCTTTTTTAAAATCCCATTTTATTTCTCCCTTTTTCGTCACATCAACAGAGATGTTGGCTGAATAAGTATATGCAATGCATGTCTAAAATTATATCAGTTATTAGCCCAGTTGGCCTTATTGAATAACTAAATAATTTTTATTAAAAGCATTTTAAATTTTCCGTTAATTTATCTTATTGGACTGGTTGAAATGAGCACTTGTTTTAAATAAATGGTATGAAAACTTACAGTCTGCCTGCGGGTAAAATAATGATTTAATAGGATAATATTCTAACTGGCTTATATGTAATTTCCTAAGACTTTTTGGATTGTGAATAAGAGTTTGTATAATCTTTGCACAACCATGTTAATGTGAAGCAACTATAGAGTTTTTATTACCACACTTCGTTTTTTCTCTTTATTTTTTTCCCGGATTAGGAGATTATTAAGTGAATTATCAGGCAGAATTGTTATCGCTTTAGAATTGATGGGTGCAAATGCGTGTGAACTTTTGAATGAATTTATTTATGGATCAAAAGGAGATGACGTTTTATCTAATCCTGATTTGTTTATGCTAACAACAAATGCTAGTGATTCATTAAAGCAGGCTAATAAAATATTTGGTTATCCTGGTGGAATGAATTATCTGGGAGCACCATTGCTCAAGAATACAACACTAAGCATAATTAGACCACACGCAGTATCAGATGGTAATATACAGTTTACTTTAAATGTTATTTATTTTTGTGATTATACAGTTATTAAAAAATTTCCTGGTCGCTCGATTTTGAAGAATCGATATGCGTATAATTATTACAGACGATATTAAGAGAGCTTTTCGGAAGAAGGCGCATATGATCACACTGGACTGTCTTGGTTAAAAAAGTAGGAAGTTCATTACTATGTATCTCTTAATCAAACAATAATAGAGTGATGTGCAATATGGTTTAAGCCAGGTGTGGGCTGCCTTGCTGGGATCCTCGAGACGTTAAAAACCGGGCTTTGGAGGTTGATAGTGATATGACTCAGAATGGTTCTCAGTGCAGCACCCTCATTCATTTCCTGTGTATTTCCAAACCCATTATATTATCATTACTTGCCATGTAGTTATTCTTCTACCAACATTTCTGTTCATTATAGTTTCTTTGCGTTTCCTTTCTCTCTAAACCATTATATATGCTTTATAAAGTGTGACAGCTTGAACTACTACAAAGTTCTATGCTGAAAACTCACTTCCGTTCAATTATAAACTAAAATAAGCCAGTCCATGTCTATTAACTTAATTCATTTGAGGAACTAAGTGATACTTCCTTTTTAGTGGGTTTACTAACAAACCATTGAATACGAAAAGAGCGTAGAGCACAAAGCTTTGTCACTATTCACAACTGTATAAAAACAAAGATAACAGTAAATAGGATATGTATATGAACACTTTGCGTACAATTTTGAATCATGTCACAGAGGCATTTTGACTACTGATTTTTTACATATTTAAAATTATCGGTAAAACAAGTTACATTTATTTAAGTGTAAGGCTAAGACTCTTAGTAAATTTTTCTATCCTTCGATATAAAGTCCTGATTTAACGCAGATTAATTAACTTTTTCTTTAACAAAGCTTCTATACCCTACGAGACTCAGTGTCATATAAAACATGTATGTGTATTCATGTAGTGTGCAATGCTCAAGCTTAGAAATATGTGGTATCAAATATGGCTGGTTCGAAATTTAAAGTGAGAGCACAAAACAAGATACAATAAAACAAACTGTATTGCTGGTAAAAATTACACTCTAAAAATTAGATATTTATAGCAAAAGTAGTGTAGGCATATGCATAAAAAGTAGACGAATTGTCTAAAACTGATGAGTTACTCAACCAGAAGAAATTACATATTATGACAAAGGTAATAGAACTGGAAAATTACAAGGGATCTAAAAAAATCCGTATATATATCAGTGGGCACTTATAATCTCTTCTTATGACTGTCACATGCGTATCTTCTTCAAAGTCAAATATATACCTAGTTGATGAGGAGTATTATGTACGAAGCCGACTCATTGTTAGCGTCTAACACATACTTTACATACTTGTTTTATAATATTCTTTTCTCAAATATATCATATCACAACATAAGAAATCATTGGGTGTTAACTTACCATCTCACAACTCATTATATAGAATTCAAGATGAAAGCATCTCATTGCTTTTACTACATAATGTTTGGGATGCGGCAATAGAATTCCCTGATACATTTGATTTTTATGAAAGATTATATCGTAGTAACACTTTAATACAGTCCTTTACCTGTTTGAACGTTAGCATGAATAAACCCAAATATAAAGTTATCATCCTATTATATAGTTAATATCACAGACTTTACACTGCTTAGCAATATTAATCTTCTTAAGCTGTTCAAGAGGTTTAGGATCTGATTACTAATCATTATGGTAATTTATATCGTATAATATTTCAAAAGATAACATTGTGGATGATAGTGAGTCACCAAGTTTTAAAATATAACGAATAAAAATATCAGTATAGTGCATTTTTCAGAAGTCCTCTATAACTTGTATGTTAATCAAGTCTTATTTAACAATCAACATGACAGCCTAAATGAGCTCCGTGATGTATTACAAGCAGTTGATGAGTGTGTGTAAGTTCAAGCTGACAAAATTTCAATTACGAAATTAATGCGCAACATTTATCAAATATGAAATATTGTTTTATAAGAAAAACACATTCACCCACTCATACTTATCAAACAATAACAAACTTTGCTCTAAAATTTAGGTCTTACTGGGAAAATATGGAATGCGATTAAAGAAAAAGGATTTTGTGTAACTGCAGCCCGTCTCTATCGTTTATCCAAAGCGGATGCAGCAGAATTTTTGGAAGTATACAAAGGTGTAGTACAAGAGTATCCAGAGATGTTGGATCAGTTATCTTCAGGTCCTTGTATAGCATTAGAAATAGGGTTTCCAGATCCAAATGTAAATGTTCATCAAACTTTTCGAGAGTTCACTGGACCAATAGACCCGGTGAGTTTACTTATTTTTATCTAATAGTTTAGAGATTAGAAAAATGACTACCATTATAATACAACTGACTTTCTAATCCGTAAACTAATTTCAGTGTTTTTGATTGCTTTTTTTAAAGTAACTTAAAGATATTTTAGAATGTCAGCATATTAAAAATCAGCATTTGGAGGGTGTTGGTTACACAGCTCAAAAAAGTTCACATTGAGGTAGATGTATTCACGTTTCTATAACTTGGATCGTAAAAGTCTTTACCTAAAAACTGTCTCATGTACATTTTCGCCCATCACAGATTGTATACATTTCTTTCTCTATTACTACGTGCTTCAATGAAGAGTGGTTGTTTTGAAATGATGTGTTCTTATCCATGGTTCTGTCTCGATAAACTATTCGTCATCAAATTGCTAATAAGTTTCCGGTTTAGCTTATTAATGTTATTGAGTTGTGTAGATTAAGGTTTACCGCTGACTCCCAAGGCACAACAGAGTACTTATATAGTGGTATTGTGAAGTTGACTTGAATGTCAGATGTTTAGTGTATATAATCGAGGCCTGTAAATTATGGAATTTTCAGCACAGTGGTGCCTATAAAATCTCCTTGCCTTGTTGTATTACTATAGGTGGAATTATTCACATTAAAAGATAACAGAATATAAGTAATTAAGCTACTCGGTGGGTTCGTAATAGTCGAATTTGATAGCAAATGCTTACTGAAAACTTTTGGCGATAGCGGTGATATCTTGAGAGCTGATAAGAACTAGAATTAATTAATCCTCAAATAATAAAAAGACAGTTGCTGCGAAGAAAATTTTCTTTTCGACGAAGTCCTTACCTTAAATCTCATTCTAGTGGTTGAATGGAGAAAGTCATTGCATTGGAATCTGATGATCCTGTGTTTAATCTCTGGTAGTTTCACTGGTCTGTACTCTTTTTTCTTCTTATCTTTATTCGTCATAATTGTCAAATGAAATTAATTGAAAAAATTTCATTGCATACCTTTTTTCCTAAAGGAGATTGCCAAATTTTTGCGACCAGATACATTAAGAGCTGTATTTGGAGTTGACAAAGTGAGAAATGCTGTTCATTGCACTGACCTACCCGGTGATACTGAACTTGAGGTAATCTTATTATTATTATTATTATTATGTTTTCAGGAGTCAGCATGTAATTTCTTCTGTTGACATCAATTGAAATACTGATTATTATTCAATTACTTCATCAACATAATAGTTACGCGAAGCTGTGAAAGGCTGGGGGAATATTTTCTTAGTCATTTTCAATTTCATTGACTGATTACAATCAGCTTGTGTGTGACAACAAAATATGATAAATTATCGTTAATACTTATGAGTAGTACATATTCTTCTCCAATTTTTAAACAAGACTGATGATGACATTTAAAATGTCATTGAAAGTTCTCTCCTGATAGACTGTCACTGTTGAAATCATCCTTATCGATCTAAGCATAGTATTGTGCGTAATTTTCCTTTCTCCTAAATTTTCGGTCATTGGTTTTGTAGGGATTTTGTTTGATTGTTTGGAGGATTTCATCATGAGCTGATATCAGTTAGAGAACTATTGGAAAACCTGGAAGTACCAGACAGCTGCTTCGTCCTAGTTTGGAACTCTTCATCAGTACGCATCTACCACAGGTATTCAAACCCATGACCTTCTGGTTACAAGGCGAGTTAGCTCGTAGACCGACCACTAAGCCACAGGGACCCGATCCAATGGCCAGTTCATGAATTCTAACTTCTGCCAATTCATGACATAGCGTGACCACTTCGCAATATCTTCTTCGATGAGTTACTGCCTCACCTTCGACATACTGCATCCTACTGGTCACGGCTTCCCACTAGAACCCCAGGTAACCGCCTGAATAGGGTCAGTCGCTAGTGAGCATCAGATCAATTTCCAAGTACCGATGAAGCGTCCGAAACTAGGACAAAACAGATGTCCAGTACTCCAAATGATTCTCTAATCGACGTCAGCTCATAATGAAATCCTCCAGCTTTCTCCTAAACCTGTCATTTTTTAAAGATAGTGTCTACACTATTGAGAGAAATACCAATAAATGGCTTTCTAAATTTCTGAATGACATCTTGACATTTAGTATCATTATTACCCAGCGTCAAAAGAGTCACAACATAATTCACCCCAAGATGTCATAATCTCCACTAGAATATGAGGTAGGTATGCTTTATGCCTCAAAACTTATTAGTTTATAAACAAATTATTTTTCTTAAGATTAGAATGATACATCGTTTCGATATGAAACGACCTACCAGGAAATGTAACACTATAGTTTATACCAAATTTTATAACATTATTTTCTAGTATCACCCTACGTTCCCTAAGTTTTGCTATATTTTTGAAGGTTTCAGAGGCGAAATTGCTGAAATATTCTTTCTTTCAAAATAGACTATCCCAATGTATCTGAATAGTTAAAGTTAGACAGAATAAAGGAGGTAATAAATCCTGAAAATAGAAGATGCCATTATTTACCTGGAAGGCCCAACTATCCTACACAGTATGTCAAACGAATAAGTTCTTTCAAAGTCAACAAAACATGGGACAATTAAAGCATATTAGCAACAAAGTTTAGCTGGAACTGACAACACAACTTGGTTTGTGCTCTCTACAAAAGGCAGCTATCACTTGTAAAACAAAATTTAACAGTCTAACAACTAATGTTACTCAGTTTATATTCCTTGGAAGAAAGGAAACAAAAACAACCAATTCTATATGAGGAATATTAAGAAATTGTTGATTTCACTTTTGCAACAGCTAATCTCCAATTTACTTTCTTCACACATCTAGACTACACATTAAGCATAATTTGGAATCCCTCCTCGGTAAAATACATGTGACAGCTAACTTGTTGTTTTGAATCAACGTATGCAATTCGTAATCAGCTTTGCTTTCATAATATATTGTCAAACAAATATATATGTCATCTTAGTTCCATGTCGAGGAAAAAGGTTCTTCTCAAGCCTGATTTCAGGATATATAATTGATTCTGGTTAACAAGTGCGTCGGTGGTATAGCGGTTAGCACGCTCGCCGGCCATGCATATGGTCCGGGGTTCGATCCCCGGTCGGCTCACTCCTTTACCTCACTGAGCCAGAAATAATGCTGGTAAAGAGGAAAGGTTGGGCATGAGGCTAGCAACCCCATCCTGTAAAAATTAAACACTGCTACAGAAACTTCAAGCCACTAGCTTGGAGCCCTATGTTCCACTGGGGACGTGAAGGAAAAATTATTATTATTATAACAGGTACTAACTAGGTGTAAAGGATTTCAAGACAGTTTCTTCACAATGGTGTAGATAGTTAGTCGTCCTATTTTATAATAAGAATGAAAAATATTACTGTATTAACCACAATTGAATCAACTTGAATAAATGTCGAAGTCGTTAAATATCTGTACTGTCATCGGCTAACTAAAGTGGAAACTTGGTAACCTCCTGGTAGATTTTCCAAGCGTCAACCAGTAAACTCGAAAATTGACGGTAATTTTACTGAAAGGTGGAACAAGAGAGAATCTTAAAGTATTCTAAAAAGTCTACAGGAAACTAATCTTAGAACAATTTAGGCCGATAAATAGGTGTCTACGAAGACAGATGCTCAAAGTCACCATTCGTATTTTATTGAGCTACACAAATGTGAAACTAGTAGGACCAATGGGTTGACTTATTATCAAAGAGTATTCTTTTTAAGTATGGGGGAGACAGTCGTTTTAGTTGACAACGGTGACAAACGGTATAGTCTTCTGAGCTCTCTGAGATGCTTGTTATGTAACTATCCTAGTAAAATGCAATGTAATGCGTCGGCGATGGTCTTCATCAAATCCTAGTTCGAGGGTAGGTACTGAAATGACTTAATGTATTGACTACATCATGTATATTAGAAGTTACATCAGTCTTGATCTACCCTTTGCCGATGAATTGTGAGTAGGATTTATGAAGCTTATCTGGTACCACTTTGTCGACTAGAAATGTTAGGTGAAATCGACTCAGGTTGGAAAAGAGTGATATATGGTCAGACTAAAACATGGCGTCAATTCACGAAATCGTTGACTGTTAGTCCGATGTGATCAGGGAGGTGTAGACTTCCTTGGTGGGATCCTCAATATGCTAAGAATCACGGTTAAGGATTGTAAGTGATGCAGCTTAAAACCGCTATAAGAGGCGCAAATGCATCCGCTCCTTGTTATTTAACAGATTCTGAAACTTCCTACCAGTCGTCATCCAAATGTTACTTTCCTTTATGTTTCCGTTGATTACGCTTCCATTAAACTTGTTATTCTACTTTAATGTGTTATTTTCTGATAAGTGGAAGAGTGAAGGGATACACTTTTATGAAAAATTCTGCTCTGATAAGCCAATAGGTTACTATCGTTCTTTCGCTACTGAATACCTTGATATATGAAATCGTCACGTTGAAATGCATCAAATTCTCTGACCTTATTATACTGTTCAATTTAATTACTCAACATCTTAGTTTTGATACATTGTTAAAATCCTAACCAATACTTAGTTTTTGTCAAGATATCTTTGGTAAATTCATTAAATTTATCTCAACTCTAGTTCGCCAAAAAACCCTATGTTTTTCATTTGCTCAGCAACATGCCTTATGCTGTCAGCCTCAAAAGTACTCAGTCGTAAATCTCGAGTATAATCCGCTCTTTACTGAATACATTTCTCGAATAAAGGAATAAAGAGCCAAAATAGAACCATTTTAAGCCATGATTCTTGAGGCACACATTGACTCGACATATTTAACAGATGTCCTAACCAACGAAATCAAACCTGTCGATCTGCTAACTTTCTCTACATAATGCTATGCTTTACGTCATTGTTACTGACTATATCGTCCTGCCTACTGTGAAGACTGTAGATACTGTTAACACCAATCAGTCTGCCTATATGCAAATGTTATGCTGTGTACTTGAAAAAAATTAGCTAACAGTTTTTCGGTTTTATGTCCTGTAGATTAAACAGGCCAGCATTCATCTAGCTAACGCTTAAAGTGAATAAGATATTAAATTTAGTATTTGTAAACGATAAAGTTCACAGTGAAACTCCACTGTATGCAAAATAGATTTGTTGATACGGTGAATCTCATCAGCATTATGAGCGTAAAAGTTACTATTAACTAGTATGAATTGTTGATTAGCACACTGGTCACTATAGTGTTGTACTAGTGTTTAAGTCAATAACCTCTCGATTACATCTGCTACATATATTAACGAATTTGTTATGATTAGTGTGAATAAAATGCATTAAATGACTAATAGTAATGATGGTCATCTTAGTGATTCCTACAAATAACAGCAATACAGCTAAGGTGTTACTTACTTTCGAAAAAGCTGTCCAGAACGCCTTCAGATAACAACTTCCATTAGACAATAATACATTCTTAAGTAAAACTAAAATGCACATACATTATAATCCAATGATAGCCTAAAATCAAGTATATTCTCTTCTTTTCTTTACAGGTCAACTATTTTTTTAATAACCTGGATAAATGAAATACAGCATAACTATATTGAGTTTTGAGAACATCTTGTAAAGTCAAACACTTTCTCCCAATTCCTCAAAATCCAATCGAAAAAGAAAACTTAAAAAAAAAACAGAACAAAACAATAGGTTTTATCCCCTACAACAAGTTGGTCATTTATTTCATCTTGTAGATTTCGTGTTAACATTCTGTTAATAATTGGCAAAAACAAAATTCCTTTCTCTTGTTAACCGGTTATACGTATACACTAAACAAGCCCGATTACCCTGTAAATACAACTGTAGTAAATACAACATACTGAATAAATATATACACATTTAAATATTCTTTTATTTTTGAAAAGAATGAGTCGAAATACTCACGCATTTTTCTCCATTTCTTGCAATAATAAATTATAAAAATCAACAAACTGGCTGAAGAAGCAGCCGGTGAAGACAGGACTGCAGATGAACATAAAGAAGACGGAGGTAATGAGGATAACCAAGGAACCGCAACAACAATCAGCACCAATCACCATCAATGGGAGAGATTTAACAGAGGTAACTCCCGTCACTTATCTAGTAAACATCGTTTCAACGGATGAAGGTGTCAAAGTCAGGCCGGTTTGGAAAGGCAAGATAAGCTTTCATCAATCTGAAACCAGTTTAGAAATCTGTACTCAAAATAACAAAACAGATTTGGATTTTCAACACAAATGTTAAGTTGCTCGGTTATTTTATGTGAGGCAGAAATTTGCAGTGTGTATCACGGAAATGATTTTCAACAGGTTACTGCAGACTTTTATTAACAGCTGCCTTCACTGGCTCCATAATGAAGATCGAATGGCCAGAAAGAACAAGTAACAAGAAACTCTGACCGGAACAAACAAACAGGCAAGAGACGATCGGTCAAGAAATGTGTGGGAGAAAATGGAGATGGATGGATGGGGCATACATTGAGGAGGCCATCGAATGACATCGCGCGCAATGCAGGCCATCGCTCGAGTGGAATCCCAATGGAGGGGGCAACGAGTGGGTCGTCGGTGCTAAGGTGACATGAGGGAGATCGTGTGAGTTGGAGAAGGAAATGAGAGATTGTGAGCAATCGCGAACCCAGGTAAAGAAGATGGCAGAGAGTAGAACACGGTAGAGATGTGTTGTTGAAGCCCTATGTACCACTCGGAACCCAAGGGAACCATAATAATAATACATTAAGAATAAGGTGAATATCTTATATGATCCTGACGAAGTGATAGTGCTGTGCATACTGATTACTTTTCAAATAAATATTTTTTGCGTAAATTATCATTTGATCATAATGAGTAAAAAGAAAAAGGAAACTTCTTAAATGTCAGTCGCTTTGAGACGATAAGAATCAATCAATGCCTTGAGACTGTTGGTGATGTAGCTAGAAAATTGTTCTCCATGGCACAGATGCGTTCATTTTTTGTAATCTCCATGATCCACTAAATCCACATGTTTCTTCATGTAGTTATTATTTTTCTCCGTAATTTTCGTCTACCCTTTGTATGGTATATGGAGTGCGGCAGGATGCACTGGTGTAATTTAGCGCAAATTACTACTTTGAAAACTAAGTCATTCAGTCAAATGTCAGTTAAGGCTTGAAAAGTACTTTTTATAACATAACCATTAAACTATGTGCTATAACACGACGTCATACTATGTTGTGAAAAACTATTACGGGTTAATAAATTAAATAAATAATAAATCGAGGCTTTTATTCTTATCCGCTCTTAACAGTTATGCATTTCGAAGTGATTTCTATTGCGTATGTGATTCAAATCTGTTACTGTGTTAGTAGCTATATAGGTGACACCTAAAAAAAGGAGTATCATAGTGTAGTGTGAAAATCATTCTGGAAAACTTTATCAGTAGACTTTTGCCAACAGTAAGTAATTTATACACTTCGTTTGCATAATCTGAATGCGAGTATTTCGAAACTTAATGAACTTTGTTAAACGGATAGTGATCAGCTATGTCTGACTCAGATTATTATTCTATGAAGGGGATCAGTAATAAATCAGTATCGCGCAGCCTTTATTTCCACGGTGTATGGTGCCAGGAAATAATAACCGTCCACACATTTCTGTAGGCACGCAAAGCTTCTCTAGTAATCGCCCCCTTCATGTTTTCTTGCAGCAGCTAATATTATTCTCCAGGTGGATCATTCACTTTTTATCAACTCTGCGACCAGTTATAGTGAATACAGATGTAAAAAAAAGCTACTAATAGTCTCTTAAAACGGTGTTACCAAACTGTATAGTGGGGAATTCAGTGTCAGAATCCGATGTCAAATCAGACAAGCCTCATTAACTGGAACTCTGGCATCTCAAGACATTAATGTTTGCTGTGTTCCGTAGACATGCGGTGTTATTCACTCAAACCCACTT